GTCTGTTACCTGGCAGTTGACTTCAAACTAACATGACCCCACTGCATATCATATTCGACTACTTTCACAGTACTCATCCTACCTTTTTTCCACCTTATCTACCTTCGTCTTTGATACACTCTTCTGTTCCCCCCCCCCCCTCTTGAATTTTTTACACTATGGTGTTCCTTCCCCTCTGTGAAGACTGAAGTCAACTAAAGGGCTTATGATAATAATCAAAACCCCTGCCATTTGATATAATAATAATATTCTTGAACCCATCCGGAGTAGATATATTCGAGTTACCAGCGCATTTTCAAAATATGGCACAAATTGTTAACACGCTCTAAACACAATTTATTTAATAAAAGACCTGAAGGTCAAACTTTTTTGCTCTGAATGCAGAGTGCCAAATTTCACTTCCATCGCCCCGATTTACCACTGTCAACTAATTCTTAGCGCGCCACCGACGCCGACTAAATATTTACGCCGAAAATATTTTCAATTCCAGTTTTGTTTATATTTTGGCTAAGTTTAACTACTTTAACAGGCAAAGATCTGTTATTTAAATCAGGGTTTAAGGGTTTTAAGTGGATCCTTCCCACCCCAACCCCAACCCTCCTCCTAGAATAAACTTTTCAGTTAAAAGTTGACTTGTTTACAGTCTATAAGACAATATTTCAAACAAGAGGATGGAAGACACAAGTTTCCATTAATTATAAACTGTGTTAACTATATCTCAGTTAAGGGGAGTTCCCTGATTCCATCAGGGAAAAGTGCACAAGTGTTTTATGTTAGTCATACTTTTCACCTTATAACTACAACTTGTATTTATATCTATTTACTCATTTAAATGATCCCAACGCTTTGAAATAATGAGCTAGTTCAAGTAGAAAGTAAATAAAGTTGAAAAGGTTTGATTTGCTTTAGTAAATAATTCAGCTTTGGTGGAAACAATTTTTTCCAAGTTCTCTAAACCACGTGGCCATATTATGAGCGTTGGACAAAATCTTCTTCTCACTGAGTCGACTGCCGGTATGAGTATACGTTGCCCAGGGTGCACCACATGGACCGGCAGTTGACTTCTGACCCCACTGTATGTCATATTCGACTACTTTCACAGTACTCATCCCACCTTTTTTCCACCTAATCTACTTTCGTCTTTGATACACTCTTCTGTCCCCCCCCCCCTCTTGAATTTTTTACACTATGATGTTCCTTCCCCTCTGTGAAGACTGAAGTCAACTAAAGGGCTAACGATAAAAATCAAAACGCCTGCCATTTAATATAATAATAAAAATAACATTGATTGATTAAGAGACATTTATTGACTTCCTGAGGAGTTATTGTTGCTAAGATTTTTTTCCTTTTTTAAGTTAAATTAGGAAGTTACTCTTCTGTTGATTTGAGTCTAACCCGACATCTTAATACTCTTTTTGCGTGTTTCAACCCATTTTAATCACAAGAGCTATACTCTCTGCCATTTTAAATAAATTTCTGCAAAGTTCCAAATGAACGCAGTAATTAATAATCAACTGAAGATTATTTTGAGAAAAAAAATAAGAAATAATTACATGTTAGAATCCAAACTCGACCATTAGCAGATATATTACAGACTACTGTATTAATGGCTGTTTAGCTTAAAACAATTATTAAACACGTCGATATTAATTTGGCCCTATCTCTCGAGGCGCTCGGGCTAATATCTCTCATAGTTAATTAAAATTAACAGTGAAAAATATTGTGCGGATGGGAAACAAGAGGGTTTGAAGTTGGGAAGAAAAATTGACGAAATCCTATTAATCCCACATGCTCGTGAGATATTTCACAGATGGGAATGAATGAAATTTTACGCACTTTTCTGCAAAAAACAGAAAAAAACGACGACCATATAATTAGTGGAGTTAAAATAAAATTGCTGAAGGAGCCTTGGAAGAGAATATGACAGCTTATGAGAAGGCATTCGAAATCTTACCTCTCGAAAATGTAATAGTCTAATCTCTCAAAGAAGGGGGCTTAAAGCATGCAAAAGTGTAGAAAATTCTGCGTTTTTTGTGCCAAGTTGTGAGCATAATTAATCATCAATTACAGCTGCAATATGTCAATTAAAAGGAAAATTATGTGGTTGGATCACTGTTGAAACCGATTTGTCTCCGGTTATCGGTTTGGAGGTGTAAATTCCAAACTCGGTGTTGGCGAGCTTACCACAAAACGTAGTTTCCTAGTAGAAAACTATCACCAGATAACGAGCAATCCAAAGACTTGGAAGTTTCTGAAAGCTTCTCCTAATTCTTTTGTATTTGGAACTTCTAAAAACTCTCCTTCTACCGAAACACTGTAGAATTCCTTTAGCTTGCTAAAGATAGTGAAATTATAAAAGTCAAATAAGTTAATACTATTTATTCAGTCATGTTTCCAAAATGAAATGTTTCCAAAGTGAAATAAGGTTATTCTTGAACAGTGACATACCCGTCCAAGTTCTTTGCCAGCCTCCAAGCTCAATAATCCAGATGCTTCAGCATAGAGTTTCACTTTGACTTGAGGAAGTGGATGAGACGTCGTGAAATCACCTTGAGTTCCCCAACTAACAAAATTAAAATTAAGTTGAGCATGTTTAAGAAAAAGTCATATTTCGTATAATGCCTAATTATATATAACAGTAGCAAACCTATCGCTTAAATAATAATAATGAGTTTACGTGGAATCCATCTCTTTTCAAAGTGAAAAAACTATTCGCTCCACTCAGAATAATCGTGCAAATATACAACCACCTTGATGGCTAACAATCAATAATTTGCGAGGCCATAATCCTGTCTTTTGAAGGATTGGATGTTCAATTTCATTATAGATAAGATAACGGACTTCACACTTTTACTGAAGAAAAGTTTTTATACATTAAATGTCCATTGAAATATATTATAATTTAAAAACGGTTTTGTCAATAACTGACTTGGAGTGTGATCCAAGTGAATGTTTCGGTAATCTAGATTCAAGACAAATCTATTGATGACGAGTTGGGTGGTCCAGTTGGCAGATTAGAGTAAAACACGTTTATGTTCCAACTATTCATGGTTTGGAAAAGCATATTTCGAAGGTTAATGCGCGAATCAAATTTCAATTTTATAGGTTTGAATGTAAAAGGACCTCTTAGATATGAATGGTGCTTAGATTAATTAATTTGGACTCAATCAGTGAGGATAATCGATTAATAAATATCATAAAATTTGTAATAAGTGGCAATAAGACCATTATGGTAAAAAAAGTAAACAAAGACAGACAAGATTACAATTTCGGGAATTCGTTTTGAAGTAATGAACTAAGATTTGATACTTTATTCTAACATTTTCTCATCAGTTTCAAGTTCATGTAAAGATTAAAACTTCCCTTTTTCCAACAAACGACAACATTTGATCACTTGGATTTAGTTCTTTCCTCACTCCTTTCAATTGCTTCCACAATCGATTTTCCCTCACAGCCGAGATTCATTTATGGGAAAATTCAACTTATCTGATGACTTCATAAGTTATTCGCCAAATGTTCTCTAAAATACATTTTCTTTAGTATCTCGGTAAACAATTGATCTATTAATAAACAAATGGATGTTGAATTGACGCATTACAGTAGGAGTTAACGGAATGAAAATCACAAAATAGTAATCTTCTCACATATATATATATATATATATATATATATATAAGTAATTAGTCAATTTTTGTGTGAACTTTTGCACCAAGCAACTAGGAAATGCAAAACAACCATTTCTGCTAATGCAGAATAATTGACGCTACAAATGGCGCAGTGGTCAACTTGTTGCGTGTCTGGCTAAATCCTAGGTCGCATTTAGTAGTAGTATGGGTAACCCAACTTCACTGCTTAGTTCTGGTCAATAGGGGTACGTGGCAGAGTGTGAAATACCC